CTACCTTACATAAACTTTTTCTTTATATGATTACCTTCGCCCAGAATCCCTAAAATTTTGCATCGAAAATCCTTCTTCTTTAACATGGATATTAGACTTAAAGTATGTATCAAGGGAAGGTTCCAGTCTTCTTGGGGTTGCAAGCTTACTTTAATGAGTTTTCATAATTAGGTTTTAAATTAGAATTTAAATGTGCATTACTTCTATAGTATAAGGAGGGGGCCTTATGTGAACCTCACCCTTATTATTAGGTGTGACGTACCTTTCAAGACTTTGTTAAAAGGTGATATTTTTTAAGATGATGTTAAATCTCTCAATATGCATTACTGCAATATGCATTACTGCAGCTTTATTTATACAAATAAGGTTGCAACCTTATATAAACTTGAAGCGGCATGGGAGCATGTCATCTTGAAGAACTTCGGCATTATGGTAGTACAATAGTCGATCTGATCTCGGGCGTGGGTGGATAGAAATGATAGATGAGGTTAGCTTGCCTCGCCAGCACGCATAGGATAGCATGCTGGTGAAGGACATGTAGGGTTGCAACCTTATATGAACTTTTTCTATTTTGGAAAACTAACATGATTTCCTCCCATACATTTTATGAATAAGGAAAACTAACATGATCAAGGAAACAAAAAAATTCATATCCTAAAAATAATGCATCTTATAACCCATTATCTAAACCGTTCATTTTCAAAATTTCCAAGTGTTTATATATCTACTAGACCTATATCATTTTTGAAGCTTTAAGGGCAAAAATAAGATTTTGGGCCTACTAAGGGTTTTCAGCACTGGAACGACATCTAGATTTAGAAGTACGGTTTGTTTTATTTGTTTAAGGTTAACACCTTATGCAAACTGTACCCTAGATACATTTTACTATTTTATATATGGAAAAGTAATTTGTGTGGATACATGCGTTCCCTGATCGTTGAAACCAAATAAAACAATGCAAATATATTCAAGAAAAATAAATTTAAGAGATTTATTATTTCATGTTCAAGATCATCATGAATCTCTTAAAAATTTAAATCTAAAATTGATCCAAGTCTCAAATTGGTTGAAGAATCATATCAGATTTTGATGACAATACTTCATCAAATTCTCAAATTGATACAAATAATCTACTTTCGGATAATGAAGAGATATTCAACCATCGATTTTGGGAATTATATGAATCATTGATCCAAAAAAAATACAATATAGACCTAAAAATTGATTTTGGGTGGTTAAAATGCAATTGTTTTTTTTAGGCATACACGGAGACACGCCTGAGTTGAACCTTGCCGGTCTCGATGCAACCCGCCGGTTTTTAATCACTGATCCAAACTATTGATTGGACAACATATGACCACACATTTGATACGTATCAAGTTTGGGAGTTTGCGTTTTTGTTATTATATAGCAATTCTTTTTGATACTTTCCATTTTCAAGGATCATAAATTAATATGGAAATGCATATAGTGAGATTATTTGCTTTTGATACAAGAAAGTCCTTTCGATAAAAGGAAGACTTAAAATTAAGTGGTTGAAGTGTGTCGCTGTTTTGACATAAAATCTAAAATAAAATTTATCAAATATTGTGACGTATTTCCATCTATTGAGTGTCACATCCAATGGCTAAAAATAGTGGTGACCTCCTTGTACCAAAACTAAATGGTCTCTGTTCCTATTATTCATAGTAATCGGTCATCTTTAGAACTCAATTCCTTTTTCCTCCTTTCTTTCCCTTTTTAATTACTCATCTATTGATTCTAAGTGGAACCCCATATTTCAGGTCAAGATTGTCCTTCTAAGTTGCCTTTTGCCCAAGAGAGAAATTGTACAATTTGCTCCCATGGGGAGAGGAGTACATGCACTGTTGTTTGTTACAACTAAATTTGCATTTCATGATCAGGCAGCTGAGGTTTTGATATCTTGAAGAACCACATTAGCAGCATTTCGACCGGGTGCTCCCATGACACCACCTCCAGGATGTGAACCACTCCCACAAAGATATAGTCCTCTCAGTGGTGTCCTATAACCTGACCTGTGTCAAGGGTTTATAGATTTGTAACTACCAAATCCACACTATTAGATTAGATAGGTAGGAAGCTGCAAACAATCATATAATATGCATATCTATTCCATACACCCAACTGAAAATAATGAAAATAAGTCAGATGAAGGGCAAATACCATCCTTTCACAGGCCGCATCAGGAAAAGAGAGTCCAAACTCATTGCACCATGGAATATGTTCCCCCCTAACAAATTTTGTTGAAAGCGAAACATCAAGGACAGACTAATTCGATCGACTTGAAATTACGAAAGTCATGAAGCTCTGATTTATTTGGAAAGTATCAATTAAGCCAAGCTAGATCTGAGTGCATCCATCTATATGTTTGCATTCTCGAAATATGGTATAGATGCCATAGACAGATTAATGAGGAAATCTGGGATTTCCTTTCCGTAGGTAACTTCGTACTATTAAGGGAAACACACCTGCCAGTTTACAGTTCACAGCAAATGTTACACGTACCAACCATGATATGCCTATCAAGCAGCATTGGTATGGGTTTTTGCCGTTTAGCTTTAATTCCATTCTTTGTGTAATCATAGCTGAGATATCTCATGAAAGGATCATGAAATCCATTAATCTCAGGGATATTGCTGGGTCAGCTTTATCTCTTATTATTATCTGCCAAAGTTACTTGATAACTGAGACTTTCCTCCCAGATAAAAATATTTCTGAGCAGTCCCTAGTATATTCAGTAAAGTAAAACAAAATAAAGTACGCAATGGAACTGAAAATGATGTCTTGGAAAAGTACCCGTCAGCCCAAATTCCTTCTCAAGATCTGGTGGTGAGAGCATGTCGTAGCCAATGATTGATGAGCTGAAGCCTGGGGCATATTCATCAATTAATGCAAAGCATCTCCGAGCAAATGATTCCTACAAAACATAAATGGTGAGACATCATATTGTAAGCTATAATGCAGTTGGTTGAGCGATCTACAAATTCATCTTAACAGGTGACAGAATTGTGTAACTACATTTTGATGATTCAAATATTTGATGCAGTGACTGTTATATAAGTCCCTACATTTTCTTGAGAAAAGTGAGGATTTTATTAAACTATAGTAAAGCTAAAAAGTACAAGCTAGTGAAGCAAAGAAATGGATGAAAAGGTGTCACCACAAAGTGGGAGTATCTTGATAAAAATAAAGGGATAGGGCCCCTAGATTGGACGCTTCCTCAGCCGGTCCATCTGCAACTACGCGAGTGGGAAATCTCATTTTTCATGTATGGGTCCCAATCTTCTTCATGAAGCGGATAATTGTCCAAGGTGCTAGGGAATCCTTTGCAAACCATCTAATAACATTGAGAGTATCTTCCTCAACCTGTAATGGTAACCATGATCACCTGGATACTATTTGAATCTAGGCATATATGACATTAACATCCTCGCACAAGAATATCTAAAAACATCACCAGTTCCAGCCAACCATGGATTTTAGCATTTATATTGAAATTCAGTTTAAAGTGCCCCCCAATGGCTCTCTGCCAAAAGTCCACCATTCCTTTTTCAGGGTGGGATAACTTAAATCCCTCTGTTATACTTGAATCAGTCTGTTAATAGGGATCAGTTCATTCTCCTTTTATGCAAGGGCTTTCATCTTCCAACAGAATGCATAGGAAAGGCAAGTTACGTTTCCATCTCAACAATTTAGACACATCAGTAATAAATCAGCATCATTATCATGAGAGTCTTTTTCCAACTATTTGAGTTTCAACTATATGAATCCTAGCCTGTCATTCTGCTCTATCAAGACCATACCCTCAATGAGGCCATAAGTCCCCATATCTTTTCTCACTACTTCAAACTATGTCCTTTTGGGCCTACCTTTTGCCCCTTTTTAATCTTCCACTTGAACCAACTCGCATCTCCTAACAGGTGCTGTATTGGGTCTGATTGCACATAGCCAGCGTACCTAAGCCTACTTTCTCTCTTCTTATCGTCTATTGGATCCACATCTAAGTTCTCCTTAATGTATTCACTTTGAATTCAATCCATTCTTGCCTTGTCAATCATCCATCTCAACATCTTCATCTCAGCTACATTCATCCTATTGGTATGTTGTTTCTTGACCATCCAACTTTTCCCATAAAGCAAAAAGCTAGTCTCACAGCTGTCCTATAGAACTTCTCTTTCAACTTCATTGGTATGTGGCAATCACATAAAACCCTGATTGCACATCTCCACTTCGGTCACCTAGCTCTAATTTTATGTATCAACATCTTCTTCAATCTCTACATTTTCCTGGAATTTTTTTTATATTAACCTTTCTCCATTTTCCTAGATTATCGACCTAAGATATCAAATGTGGGCTCTTTTTGGTATTTCTTGATCATCAATCTTAACTACTTCTCTGTTATTACTAAACTTGCATTCCATATACTTTATCTTAGTCCGGCCTAGTTTAAAACCTTTAGATCTAACTAAGACAAAATTATGCCGTCCGCCAACAACATACACCACGGTACCTCATCTTGTCGATGCCTAGCTAAGTCGTCCATAACTAAGACAAAGAGGACAAGTTAGTAATAAATATGATATACAAATAAAGTTGCGGATTTTTTTTTCTTTTCAAGAGAAGTGACTCTATTGTACAAAGTTGAGGAAATAAAAAATGGACTCACCCTAAACGAGAGATCCTGCCAGCAACCTTCTGAAAGTTTGTAAGGAGTGTATTGAACGAATAAATTGACGACATGCTTTCCTACAAAATGACAACATGAAAGAGTCACTATTAATGGAATAATAAGCATCATATACATCTTTAAACAAATAGACTTTTATCATACTAAGAAGCATAAGGTAAGCTTCGAATAGTGCATGTTGTGCAGGATGACTCTCATAAAGACCAAAAAATCAATATGATTTCAATAATACCACACAATTCAAGTATAAATGGTAAGACGCAGTCATTGTTGTCATATATTGGCAAGATGTAAGTATGCACTGGAGTTCGCGTACTTGATTATATCCCCTCATAGGATAGATCGACTTCTTTTTTCCAAATTTCTCTAGGAAAGATTGACCTATTCATAAGGAAGATCGTTGCATTACATTTAAATTATTGTGTTCAGTTAGAATAATAAATAAATAAATAAATCATAGGTCCCAATGTTGACCATGAAATCATATTAACCAACGCAATGGGCCTCAGTCATATTGACAGAATTAACCATGAGAAGCATAATCGTCATTGCACGTTCAACGGTAAATTGGTGTGTGCTTGATGACGGGGACATGATGGTGATGTGGTTTCAACTCTCATGTTGCCGTTTTGTCCCATTTGGATAATATACAAATTACGCATCCATTATTGTAATGTTATAGTTTCATTTAGAAGGCAGAATGATGCAAGTTTGGTTCAACAAAACTAAAGCACAATAAGTTCGATCTTTTTAATCCTGGTCTTCTAATTTCAAACTTTCTATCAAGGCGATCAATTCCTTTATGCATCTCCAATGAAACTCTTTTGGAATGCAATACAAGATTCCCATAAACATCACTCTTAGTCAAATGGCATCTCCTGGGCAATCCTACAGATAAAGGTGGTATTGGAATAAAATTATCAAGGAAGTTCTCTTAGCAAGGAAAACTAAGTTGGGAATTAGCTTCTTTTAAAAAATGTTAAAAAGAAACCTCAAGTTAGATATTTAAAATCAGCTCTACGGGAGAGGGATGTCCTCATTTTACCTAAAGGGCGCTTTGTGAACCATAATTTCCTGCAACTTTCAGTTTCTAAATTGGAACAACTAATGTGGATTCCCAAATAAGATGAAGCAGTTTCTGCTAAGAGCGTTTGGAAATTTATAGTCAAACCTCAAAAAACCAGAACTGTCCCCACTAATGGTCCAAACCTGCCCCTCCAAGAGCATCATAGTTTCATGGTTGGATTATCAAGGTGAACTCCCAGTTTTTGGTTCTTTGTAAAGCAGAGTTTTTCAATTTGCAAGTAGATTAAATAAAAAGCAGATGTATTCATTTCCAAAACTTGAAGTGGCATCAACACATTTTCATGTCATGCCCTTTCATCCAACTTATTTTGGAATCTCTTTTCACAATTAACTTTAACAAATAAATAGAAGGTTCAGTGGCTTAAATATTATAGATAGGTTCAGTAATCCATTTCATTTTTTAAATAAGCATATCCAAGACCTTTAGCATGTGAAATTTACCACAACCATCTGGCATATTTGGCAAGAGAAGAACTATTATGTCCTGGAAACCCTTAACCACATAGATATTTGCACATTATTATTTGGAAAGCTTTGAACAAAATGGTCATTTTTATCGATGTGACACCATTTACAGATAACGTAGATTTAGGATCACTGAGGGTATGGCTTTTGATAGAGCAGAATGGCGTACCAGGATTTGTGTAGCCAACCCTAATTAGTTGGGAAAAAACTTTGATGATGATGATGATGATGATGACAACATTTATAATAGAGAACTAGAGATAGTTTCAAGATGGGACATCAAGCAGAACTACCTAGAGCCTCTAAATGCAGGAAATCTCGTGGACTCCTATTAAATCACCTCCATGTGGATTAAATATAGACAGTACTTCAGATTACAACAAAGATGGATATAATACAAATTTTTTAACCATGATGATTTATTCTAACCATTTGCCAGTAACATTCAATTATGCTTAATTTATATGCAATCCTACAAAAACTCCAAATTGCTAACTAGAAACTTCAAGTGCTTATGTGAAGGTTCAAAGCAGAATTGGCTGGCTAGGAATATTTACCACTGCGATTTCAAAAGTATTAAGGAAATGTAGTTAATAAATTTGGGCCTCAGAATTCACAACTGAAGCAACTCTACCAAAGCAAATAAACACATACACATAACCTGTGTGGGTGTAAGTTTGCAGTCATATCACCATCCAAGCCTTGTCCCAATTATTTGGGATAGGCTAATATAATAATAACATTAACAAAAGAAAAGATATCTATATCTCTAAATGATACTAACATTAGTAGCACATCCAGAAAGGAAACTTGCATCTACAAAAGTAAAGAATCATTCAAGTAAGTGCAGTTCAAAAGGTAGTGCGGATGCTCAGAATGAAACACGTGGTCATCCACTAACAGAAAACAAACCAAAATATTAAAAATACAGAGAGAGAGAGAGAGAGAGAGAGAGAGAGAGAGAGAGG